TACAGTATATATATATATATATATATATCTCCAATGTATAATTGCTCTTTTGTTGATTTTGATTGCTTCCATTGTCCTCATTTGTAAGTCGCTTTGGATAAAAGCATCTGCTCAATGTCTAAATGTAAATGTAATATAAGCAGTGCTTTTTGAAACTCTGTTGGCAATTAAAACACTTAAGCCAAATCCATATTTCCAATATTTTTCATATACTGACAGCAATGATGAATTACTTGTAAACTCTATGAAGGGGATGGGCATTTCTGATAATCTGTTCAGTAAATAAAGCGCAATACAAAACTGAGTGGTCAATAAGAGACATGGAAACAATGTTTATTAAACTATTGCTTTATTCATATCTTTTTAGTTATAAACATTTAGAAGATGCACTACATGAAACGATGTAAACCTTAAAATGGAAATGCCAACAGGACTTCCTATGTTAATGTGATTATTAGTACATTGATTTGAAAACTAAACGGCTGTAATTACAAACCTGAGGTCTATTTCCAGTGTTATAGAAGCACATTAAAATTACAACAAATCTGTGATGTAATCACATTATTTAGGAAAGAAATGACAAATTTAACATCTGTACACAAAAAAAAAAATACTAAAGCTTGCCAAAATTAGAGAAAAGTATAAAAACCAAAGCTTATTGAATGTGTTTATAACTAGATACATAAATCAAATTTTAAAAAGTTGTTTATTTGTGTAGTAATATTTGCTTATCAGATTTACTTCCAAGTCCTAATTTTCAATCTCAGGGTGAGACAGTAGACAGTAGAAGTTCATTCATATAGGAGAACCAACATATTACTCTGTTAACCATGTGAGTAATTGTGGAGTGTAGTAGGTGATAATGATGTCAGCTCCTGAAAGAAAGAAAATAGTGTGAAAATACTTAAGAGTATTTAGTATTACCTGTAAACCATCCATTTTTGAGGCATTAAAATAGATATTAAAAAGTAAAAGACACCAAGGTCCTGCCCAAAAAGCACTGCAATTGTTATATTTATGCAATTTAGGAGAACCTGGCCTCAACAGATTCAAAAAATTTACTTTATCCCTGTCGCTCTTCTCACCTGCTCGACGGAAAGCAGTCATAGCCTCCATAACTGCAGTGCGCAGGTCAAAAGCTCCAGCTTCAGCTCCATGCCACAACATGGCAAACTCGCCTGATACATTATACACTGCCAACGGATGAGTAGGGTGCTGATGGGAGACAGAGAACACAAGGGTATTAAGACAAGCAAAAAACATTAGACCCAATTTATAAATGACATTGTTTAGTTTTTGCCGCAAACTGTCTGGAGTGCTTTGAGACACTTTGCTTTTAGAAGGCCACTGTCCAGATGAATTCAGTTCCAACAAACCTTCCTGGCATGTTAAAGCAAACTTAAAGCAACAGTGCACCCAAAAATGCTGAAAATTTACTCCCCTCAGGCCATTAAAGATTTAGAAAAGTTTGTTTCTTCATCAGAAAAGACTTTGAGAAAGGGGAATCCAAATAGATGATAAAAACATCACAATAATCCATAAGAAATCGTCACGACTCAATGTCTTGTAAAGTGAAAAGCTGCATGCTTGTGACAAACAAATTAATCATTAAGGCGTATTAACTGTAAAATGTCACTTCTGGCCAAAATACCAGGGCATAATCCGTAATAACACTTCCTCAAGTAAAAATGGCATCCCCTTTTTGCCTTTCACATCAAAATGCACATATTTGTTTAGAACTGTATTTCCTTATAAAGTGTGCTTGATCTGTGCACATTTCTATCCTGATTCAGATGAGATGACTTGCAGATAGCAATATTATGGATAATATCAGCTGTTCGTCATTCTGACAGCACCTATTCACTATAGAGGATCCTATGGTGAGTAAGTGATATAATGCTAAATTTCATTTCTCCAAATATGATTAAGAAACAAACTCATCTACATATTGGATGGCCTGAAGGTGAGTAAATTTCCCACAAATATTTATTTTTGAGTGAACTACTCCTTTAAAGATCTTGCTGAGCTGGTTCATGTGCATTTAATTTGAAGCTGAACCTGCAGGAAAGTCCGCAGAAAAAGAAAATAAATAAAACAGTAAACAGCCAACGGGCATAACTTAGAATGGGAGATGGATCAGTTTGTGAAAGGGAAGAGAAAAGCCATATATAAAGTCGCACAGACCCAGGCAGGTGCTGGTTATTCAAAGGCTAAATATAGTAGGGTGACCATACATCCTCTTTTCCCCAGACATGAGTAGCCCCACACTGCAGAACACAAGATCCGGGGGCGTGGTTGGATCCACATCTAGGGGGTGGAGATGGGTAGGTTTAGGGGTGGAGATGGGTAGGTTTAGGGGTGGAGATGGGTAGGTTTAGGGGTGGAGATGGGTAGGTTTAGGGGTGGAGATGGGTAGGTTTAGGGGTGGAGATGGGTGGGTTTAGGGATCAGGGGGTGGAGACGGGTAGGTTTAGGTATATGTAAGGTGGGAGGAGTTGGATCTGGATCCAACCTCGCCCCCTGGATCTTGTGTTCTGCAGTGAGGACCATCTCACTTGTCTTGTGAACTGCATGACCGTTTGTGAGGACAAGAAGGTATGAAAGAAACATTTGTGCATTTCTATGTCTAATTCTCGACTTGATGTTTTCAGGATACACCTGATGTTGAAGATGACATGTCAACAGCAGAGGTATGTCAATTAAATACTATACTTACCCCTTAATTATGTTGTAATTTTATCATGATTCTTGTAGTGAGTCACATATTCTGAGGTATTTTCCATTTCATTGTAACTAATGTGTATTCTAGAATAAACAGAGGTGTTTGAAAGTTTGATTCGGGGAATTCAGAATTCTATTAAAACTCAAATGATGACTTTGCATTTTTGCTTGAATTATTTCTTTAATATTTAATGGACTGCTTATGGAGAGGATTATCTTATGATATTGCATAAATAGTATAAAACCTAGGATAATTGCCCCTGTCAGTTTACATAAAAAATTTTTTTAACCTTTAATAGTTTTAACTTTTTTTAAATTTCCTTTTTCAGATAGCAGAGTGGGAGGAGCAACAGCTGGATGAGGCTGTTAATTTCAACAACTGTAAAATAGACCCCGCCCCCTTTCAGCTGGTGGAACGGACATCTTTGCATAAGGTAAAAGATTTGCTGTATCTGCCAAGCATAGTGCGCTGCAGTGATGATTGCAGTGTATTTTTGTAGGCCAACTTTGTTGTTTACATCACCCTAGTTCCCTTGACAAAAACCCAATAGGATTTTTCCATTGGCTTTTGGGTTATTACAGAAAAGCATTCAATTTAACACAATTTGTATGAATTTTGAAGCCTAAATACAGTCCCCAGAAGTGAAAAGCTAAATGTACTGTATGCACGCAAATTACAGAGAAGCACAACAGTTACCGTATGGTGTTTGGCAGTGTTCAAAACGGATTTAAACATTGCATTTTTAATTGATTTCTTCTCGTAAACTCAGAGATGTAGATTCGGATGGCAATTAAATTACCACACGACCTTGGTGTTTGTCAAAAAACAGTAGGTAATTCAGCCTGGGATTTTTACGCAGGTGGTGAGAGAAAAACACTGACATTTTGTATTCGGACGGCAATAAAATCACCGCTACCCCCTGTAAATGGTGAAAATAACTTGCGTCTTCTTGAGAAACAATTACCGTCCGAATAGGGCAAGAACCCAGTAATTTAACACAATAAGGCTGTAAAAACAGACTAGTGAGTAGATGAGTTTACCTGTTCGGCATGATGACTTTTAATGTTCCTGACAATCTCTGTAGTTCCATTAGACCACTTGTTAGCAACTGCCTTTTTCAAGACAAGTAAAAGCTTTAAAAAAAAAATCACAAGCATTACTGATGTATTTTATGTCATAGAATAAAACATGAAAATGTCTTGAACTTGTGTGAACCACAGACCTTATTTCAGTCATTTAACAAAAAACCCATAAAAAAAAACAGAGCCTTGTGGAAGATAAAGTGAAGGAAAGAGAAGTGTAAAAATGCTTGTTCCTGGGTTTAGACCTAAAAAACAATGTCATGCCTACAGCACTCTATTATTCAGCCATATAAAATGACAAAAAATTATCATAAAAGTAGTGCAGATCATTTGTATGATATATTCTGAAGCCACATGGCAGATTTTTGTTAGGAATATATTGTATTGTAAGCCATATAAAGTCATATGGAAAAGCAAAGGTAACACTTCAGTTTAGGGACCATTTCTCGCTATTAACTAGTTGCTTAGCATGCATATTACCAGCATACTGGCTGTTTGTAAACTGTTGACTTGCAAAGCACATATTAATGTCTTATTCTGCATGACCATATTTTAGATCCCTTAACCCTTCCCAATACCTACAGTGCATGCATAATTATTATTATTATCATTATTATTTTTAAGTTGATATTCTGATCATATTTTTTTCAAGCACATTTTACCAATTCCAAACCACATCAATCTTAATAACTATTAATTTGGTATTTAATCATTTATAAGTGATATATAATTGTCCATTAAGGCTGGAAGTGAAAAACTCCTTATATTCAGGTGTGCAGAATTATTAGGCAGGTTTTCTTTTACAGATAAAATGAGCCAAAAAAAAGAGATTTAACTCAGACTGAAAGTCAAATTGTATTAAATGCCCATGAGAAGGATGCAATACTTATGCAATACTAGAATTTGCAAAGTCAAGGCATGACCATTGGACAGATAAATGCTCACTGGGTCAGCACAGTCAGAAAAACAGGTGGAGAAGAAAAGACACGCTAATTGCATTTCCATCTCCTGTCCTGAAAAGCCTGTCTTGCAGAGATGGACTAAAATGAATTCCAAAACTTACTGCCAGATTCTGGAAGCTAAATTCTTGAAAGAGTGGTACAAGTGGTGCTGGTCCTTCAAGAGTCGCTCTCAACTTATCTGTCTATAAAACCTATAAAAATCAGTCTTCATGTAAAACACTTCAGCTTATGATTCTTATTAAGCAGAGGTTATATTTTAGGATTTTTTTCCCAAGCAATGTCTCTGAGAACCTGACACATTGCACTTCTGGAAACTCCAGGTAGGTTGCAGTTCTGGAAAATGGTGGCACTGGAGACTAAATGGTTCCTGGTGGTTTCACACCTAATTCTTTACCTCAATTCTTAATTATTTTGCAGTTAACGTGTTCTTTCTGACTGTGCTGACCCAGTGAGCATTTATCTGTCCAATGGTCATGCCTTAACTTTGCAAATTCTAGTATTGCATAAGTATTGCATCCTTCTCATGTGCATTTAATAATTTTTGACTTCCAGTCTGAGTTAAATCTCTTTATTGGCTCATTTTATCTGTAAAAGAAAACCTGCCTAATAATTCTGCACACCTGAATATAAGGAGTTTTTCACTTCCAGCCTTCATGGATAATTATATATCACTTATAAATGATTAAATACAAAATTAATAGTAGATATTAAGATTGATGTGGTTTGGAATTGGTAAAAAATATGATCAGAATATCAACTTGCTTAATAATTATGCACGCACCTTAAACTTAACAACTACCTTACTATTAATAAGCAGCAAATTAGGAGTTTATTGTGGCAAAAGTCAGAGTTGATAGTTAGATAATAGTGAGAATTGGTCCCCAAACTAAAGTGTGTCCAAAACAAACAGACTCGTTTTATTTATCCATGAATGTCAGTCCTTATCTCTGTCCCTTTTGTTCAGACACACACCATTTTCTCACTACTTGGCCTGGATCATACCTATGTCACCAGCACCGGACGTCTAGTAGGAGTGGTCTCTCTAAAAGAGGTGCGTGATTGTATTCTTTTACTAGCTCTTCTTTATAGCAGAAAAACACATTTTAAAAAAATTTCTGTTTATAGCTGCGTAAGGCCATCGAGGGCTCTGTAACCGTGACTGGCGTGAAAGTCCGTCCCCCGCTGGCCAGCTTCCGCAACAGCGGCAACAGCAGCAGCGTCTCAGAGGTCACCGAGCTCCACAAGCTCTGGAGTCGTCACAGGAGCCTGCCGCTACCACGGGAACCTAACCTCCCCAACCTGGACGACCAAACGGAGCAGCCGTCCGAGGGAAGCCTGGTGAACGAGACCGAGTGCACAGAGCTGTCCAGTCAGAACAGCCCATTACACACAGACGACCAATCAGAGCCGACGCCCCAAGAGGAGCACCTCGCACAGCTCCCCTGTGACTGTAGCCACCCTCTGGAGGACGGAGGCTTGGAGGCCGTCGGCGAGCAGAGCCCAGCTCCGATGGAGGAAGCGGTGAGCGAGGAAAGCCCCTCGCCCTCAAAGGCTCAGCCGAAATGACAGCTGCTTGCGGTCGGTAACGCACACTCCATTTACACCATAAACGGTATTGTGAAGTCAGGTTAAGGAAAACCTGGAGGAAGTCTTTAAGCAGTGAAGCACACTCTCTGCTCCGTACTAATCAAACCAACCCTAATCTCTGGTCCTGCCTTCACACGAAACACGCCGTGTGTGTTTGTATGTGTGGGATGTCATAGATACGCGCTGCAGTGTGAGTGCCGTGTGGATGGGCTTGTGAGCGAACGTCTGTGTATTCCTCATAAATTTGGGTGTCTGTTGATTTGTGGCTTCATAGCGCGTTTCGGTGTTGAGATATGTTGATGAGATTCATTTAAAGAAGTTTCTGTTTGATGATGTCACGGCGGGTTTTCGTCATAAACGTGTTTGTTTGTTGATTTGTGGCACACTTGTGTGTGTGTTTCTTCGTGTTTGTACGTAAGAAAAGCCGAGTGTGTGTGTGAGAGTGACTCAGCTGCACCTTGCCAACGCACCCATCTGGTGCCGACACTTTAAATCCAAATAAAATTGTCTCTGAGAGCCAAACTGCAATTTTGCTCTAAATATAGCCCTTAATAACCCACACTGCAAGGAAACACGGAGGAAGAGAGCGGGGGAAAGAAAGGGAACGGGTGGGCAAAAGAGGACACGGAGAGAACAAGAACATGATGCAAAATGAGCGAAAGACAGGAAGGACACAGGAACCAGTGTCGTGGAAAGGCAGGAGAATAAATGGGAGAGTGGGGTAAACTGTGCCGCTTTTTATTTAGATTGTCAACCAGGCAAGAAGAAATAAGTCATCAGGGAAATGAATATGCCTGATTATATTTCTGAACAGATAAAGGCACAGAAATATGACTTTTTAGGAAAAATGGCTGAGTGACACAACTTACCCCACATTAGGGGTTAGATGTGCCATGGATGTTGAGTCATTGGGGAATATTTGAACTATTTCAGGTAAAATATGAACAATTAATGAACATTAATCTTATATTTTGATGCTCAATATTCACATCTTAACCAACTAGAAAAATCCAGTGTATTTGCATGTAGTGTAACAATTTTCAACATTTTATGATGTAAGTATATATAATTTTTTCTGCATTTGAATTTGCATTTGACACACTTTACCCAAAAGCTACAATTTTGGGAAAAACTAAATATTAATTTCTAATTCATTGATAAATGTATTTATTTAGTCGTGATATGATTTAAGAATTCATAGCCTCTTTTGTTTTCTACACTGGCAATTCACCAAAATCTATGATAAATATTTTTAGACATTGATAAATTTGTTTTGACATCAAACTCATTTTACCTGCCATGCAGAAAATTTACTTTGACATGAATTTTTTTCACACACAAAAAAATTGACAATGTGCATCACAGGCAGCTGAATACAACAGACCTTTTTTTAAACGTGGTCATTTGACAAAAATCATCCAGTTTGCTAGATTACAGGGATGGCGCATCTTACCCCACTCCTCCCTACAAAACCAACAGCAACTCATACAGAGGAGTTTCCAACCAGGGTAGTTTTGAAGCACATTGTAATTACCATTCAAACAAAACACAGCAATACACAGGCGTTTACCATACTGACAGCATCAGAAAAAAACTCCTTTAACAAAGCATCGCTGAGCACACGGTTTGGATGGTGTTGCCTGTAATTACGAGTAATGATATCCCACAATATGTAGGCACGTTAAGCATGCGCGGATCTGTATCAGGACCAGTTTGTAGCATAGCTGCCTGGCCATTTAAAATGTATTAAAGCATCTTCCCTAAAAGCTTGAAATACTCAAGAGAGACTCCAAGTGGAGAAACGGAGCCTCTTAAATTCTTAATTATATGCATGAACCCCAATGCAATCATTTGCATGCTCACACATGCGCATAAACAATACGAATCATATTGCTTTACAGCCATCTTAAATAGCCTGCATTGGCATGTTTCACGTTACTTCATCAGGTTTACTTACATGGCCTTTTGCTTTTTTCTTCAAGGCCAGATTTGTTCAGAAATCCAGAGCGCAATACTTTTCGCACATGCTCACGATGCGTCACAGATTTCGACGGCAGTGTAGATTGAGGGAAGTTTTCGAGTTATCGAGTTTGTGTTAGAACCAGCCTTTGTATAAATACCATTGCAGGGAGTTTGTGGTCACTGTGCAGATCTCATCCAGCAGTCATCAAAGTATTAAAATGTAATTCATTGCAACGATGGATATTCTGTGTACCTGCGATCGTGTCTTATCTGAATTGTTTTGCATATGCGCAAAGCTTTTTACATTTCATTTTGAGCTGCCAACTGTGCAATAATGTCGTATTAGAACTACTGCTTGCCAAATACGGTTATTTTACTGAACGCTGGCTCTATTTCTACAGTGCATATTATTTTGAAACTGTTTGCAATAATGCACATCATGAATAGGACATGCATTGAAACAAGGCAGGTAAATGCCTTCAGATTTTGTTTTCACAACTTGCAAAGTGTTTACTGGACCTCGGCGGTGGAGTTTTCACCAGTATCAGCCTGAGAATGATGTATAATGTTCTGTTTGCATCAAAACTGTGGCTGAACGACGCTATGCAGTATGGTCAAGAACAGCACAACTACCCCAGACACAGCCTAAGCCGAGCTAAACGGAGAATGAGTTACGTTTCTTTTTCTTGTGCACTGCAGAAATGGGAGGCTACGGGTTTGATTTAAACGGATCAAGGCAAGTGGACCAAAACCATAACCATGACACTGACTTTTCAGATTCTCTAAGAAACGCCTGCTATGGGTTCTGCGAGCCACACGAGCGAAATGTTTCCTCGCCATTCATCCGGCTGCACTAATCAGCTGTTTTATTAATGTTTGTTATGAAACCCAATCCTGACGTGGGACAGGAGTAACTTAAGCTAATAATGATCTTTAGATATGTTGTGTCACGTTTTGTCTCTGTTTGCCGCTTGTGCAGTTTAAGTCAAGCCCACGGTGTGTAAAGTGTCTGCTAATATGCCGCACATTCAGTGTAGAGTTAAGCAATAAGTCTGCTCCCATATCCGTAAATGGTTTTTATAAATCATTTGCTTGTACAGAATACAGGGTAAAGCGGTATGTATATGAACTCTACTCACATACCCTGTACATATAGAGATAAGCATATTGAATCAGCTGTTACCATTATTTTTCAGAAAACATGGAATTGTTTTGTACATCAGTAAATATTAAATTTCAACTTTAAAGCTTTCTGTTTTATGCAACTCATTTTTTGTGGGAAATACTGGAATTATTATTATTATTAAATCTTGAAGTATTTTTGTCTTGTTTTCTCGTAAAATATATTTTTAAAAAATACACCCTCAAATAAAATGTACCCATGAAGTAACTGAGAATAAAATGTTGTTAAGATTTATGCTTTAAAAAAATCAATATATACTCACATCTTAGTATTTCATTTTGTAAATGAAAATGTAAATGTTGGGGATGATATTTCTACTGTAAAACCTGGCAAAAATACGCAATAAAATGTGTTTTTGCAGTTTAAGGTTTGCATAAGACACAGTGAAACATATGCATATACACATAACTTTAATGCAATCATAATTCTCACATTTGACCTCAGACATTTTCTGTACAAACATTAAAAAAAAAACTTTTTTTGTAGGGGGATTCGCACATTCACATCAATGAACATCATGACATTACCGGTTCATATTGAGGATAATGATGACAAACGTGGTTGTTTATGAATTTACACTGCCCTTCCCCATGCTTCTGCAATGAATGAATGCAGTCTGGAAAGGCAACATATACGTTCTGTCTACTGTTTTACTGTAGCTGCATGTCAAGGTTGTATTAAATAGTAGCTTCAAAAAAACCTGTTCATTCAGCAGCCAATCACAAATCAAACATCTATTGAAGTGCAGATAGGGAGGAAAAAGATGGCAGAACAGAGAGAAAGAAACATGGTAGAGGATTCTCACTCAGTTTGGTATGGAAGCCGATTTCTGCCACAAAAGGAAAAAAAATCATTCTTTGGCAATCATGGAATGAAAAGTAATAATTATGGTGCAAGTCGAAATTATGAGATAAAAAGTCAAAATTCTGAAATAGACATAATTATGAGATAAAAAAGGCAGAATTATGAGATAAAAAGTCAAAATTCTGACAGACATGAAATAAAAAGTTGAAATTATGACATAAAATGTCAAATATGATAAAACATTTACGTTTTATCTCATATGTCATAATTACGACTTTCTACCTAATAATTTAGATTTTTTTTCCATTTTAATTTAGCAAGTCGTAATTTCAAATATTTTTGTCATAATTTTGACTTTTTTGTCAAATACAATGTCATATCATAGGTATGACTCATCTTTGACTTATAATTTGGACTTTTCATCTTATAAATACAACTTTGCATGTCATCATTTTGACATGACTTTATCTCATAATTCTGACTTTGTCTCATAAATAACTTTTTGTCATATTTTTTTTATTTCATAGGTATGACTGTCATAATTTAGACTTTTCATTTTATGAATATGACATAATTACATGAGATAAAAAAGGCAGAATTATGAGATAAAAAGTCAAAATTCTGACAGACATGAAATAAAAAGTTGAAATTATGACATAAAATGTCAAATATGATCAAACATTTACGTTTTATCTCATATGTCATAATTACGACTTTCTACCTAATAATTTAGATTTTTTTCCCATTTTAATTTAGCAAGTCGTAATTTCAAATATTTTTGTCATAATTTTGACTTTTTTGTCAAATACAATGTCATATCATAGGTATGACTCATCTTTGACTTATAATTTGGACTTTTCATCTTATAAATACAACTTTGCATGTCATCATTTTGACATGACTTTATCTCATAATTCTGACTTTGTCTCATAAATAACTTTTTGTCATATTTTTTTTATTTCATAGGTATGACTGTCATAATTTAGACTTTTCATTTTATGAATATGACATAATTACATAATTATTACTCAAGATTATGAGATTTTCCAAAGCCTGATTATATAATGCATCTGAAATGGGCTTCCATAGTTTGGTAATATTCATCACACAGTGATCATAATAACAGGCACATTCTATTCATAGTTACCACGCTCCATCAAAGCAGAACCCTCCTGCACCTCAACCCTTCTGGAGCAAGCCGAGACACACGAGCACTTGCAGCGTGCCATCTAAACCCAAACAAAATAAACTGAGGTTTTTCTGTCCCTCAGGAAACCCCCGATCCTGAAGTATTAACAACATTTTACTATGAGCATTACGTCACTTTTGAACAGTCACAAAAGGAAAACATTTGAAACCATGTTCCTCACAGAGATTTTCCAGTCTCTTGATGTGTCGTCATGAATACGCCAAGAGCGCAGGTAATGAGTCTGCATTTCACTGGATACTGCAATCATAATGTCACTATCATCCAACTCGCCGCTTGAATGAGGAAACAGTACTGTGGTTTTCTTGAATGCTCATTTCAAATGAAGAGCATGTAGATCAAGAGGAAGCAGGAAAAGAGAGGAAGAGGGGTAGTTGTCTCAAAAAATGAGGGTTAGTTCACCCAAAAAAGAAAATTCTGTCATTAATTACTCACCCTCATGTAGTTCCAAACTCGTAAGACCTTCATTCATCTTTGGAGTGCAAATTAAGATATTTTTGATTAAATCGGAGAGCTCTCTGACCCTCCATAGACAGCAAGGATCCTAACGTAGCAAGGACATCGTTAAAATGGTCCATGTGACATCAGGGATTCAGCCGTAATTTTACGAAGCAGCGAGAATACTTTTTGTGCGCAAAGAAAGCAATAATAACAATTTATTCAACAATTCTTCTCCCCGAGGAAGCGTCTTCCGCCACTGGGGAGTACCCCAGTGTTGCCAACTATTTTTCAGAGAAATTTGCTAAAGGAAGGTCGATTTGTTGCTAAAAGTTGCTAAATGACGTTATGAT